TAATTTTAACGACATGATCAGTGCCAAAGTGTGCAGACAGACCGTCACAATTATGTTTGACAGTACGGCAAATCATCGATTGTAACAAAAATACAATTTCAAGTCGCTTTGGTTCAATATTACATCTCCTTTTTGTCTTGTATTTACATATAGCATTGTAATCTTAAGAATATTTATCCTTGGCAAATATGCAAGCTGAAGCCGCCTCACTCCTGTAACGACTGTTTACCCACTGTGCAAACCACTTTATTTGAGTAAACCAGAACACTATCAGCTGACATTATTTCGATATTTGCTGCAGGAACACTCTCCTGGAAGTTTTGATCGGCTATTTGCTTCTTTCATGCGCGTCAAAATCTGCGAAAAAACAGTGTTTGTTCGTCAGTTGAACCTGATTTGTATTCACGATTAACTATTGCGAAAGAACGTCGCTACTGCACAAAGACTTAACGCTAACAACCAGAAAAATGCAAATAGAAATTGATTTAGACATTTTAGAATAACTCAAGATCAAACATAATTCCTGCACAGTTTTCCTGATCTTTCAATCCCAAAAGTATATTTACAAAGATTAGTTAGTTATTGTACAGCTCGCATCTCCTATTACGTCTTGAACATAGGGATAGAGAAAGGAGACCAACGACAATAGGGTATTGGGAGGGGTAAACTGTTCTCCAAAAATTATTTAACCAAAACAAAAAATGAATAAAAGCAAGCAAATTTTTAGAGGTCTTTTAAGTACGAGATGCCATTTTGCTACGGCTTGATGCACAAAATAGAAGTAGAAAACCTTTTCAATCACAATAATTGCTTCCTTCCATTTATTTATGTCAATCAAAATTAAAGAATTAAACTGGAAATAGGTGTCTAGTATTAGTCAAAAAGAATGATTTGAAACTCATTTTCAAAAGAAGATTTTTCAAGCCGTAAAAAAGCTGAGGGTGCACAGTACTATATTTTCTTAATTTTTTGGCCTTTTTTGCACAGTTACTCACAAGGTTGCTGCTGCTCAGAGTTGCTATGAGATAATGAGCTGGAAACGAGCCAGCAAGTATTATCTGTGTAGCAAAATTTGTAAATGTTGTTTAAATAACATTTTCGATGACATTGATAGGTTTATCATAGGCTAGTTTGCTGTCTCTTGCTAAATGTTTTAGATACGTGAAAGCGAGGTCGGCCCTCTTGTCATTCAGAACCACTTATCTTCCAATGTTTGTCGCTGGCTGATTGGGCTTGTTGTATATCTCAACATTGCACTTAAAATCGCTCAACATTTGTACAGTGATGTTTAGTGATGTTGAATAGGGGTGTTAAACCGTCTCAACAATTCGACTTAATATTCATTGAACGATGAACTTCGGACTCTCAGAGATCCAAGAAAAGGGAATCCGCTGGTTAGATAGGGTGTTTTGGGAGATGAACTTTGGATACTCCTTCCCTTTAACAGTAGCTGCCTTATGAATTCCTTAGGTCAGGATTTTGTCTTGCAACTTGCTTTGAGTTGCTATCTCATCCGATTTGCTTCCACTGCCAGTTTTTTCCAAGCGTTCGTCATGGTTTGCCAATGCAATTTATAAAATTCAACTTCTCTCAACCTCTTGGTGTGATCTGAGTTCTTGACGCGTTGAAGTCTAGTGCGCTTGCGCCGACTGAACATTGTTGTATGTGGTGTTAAAAGGCTTCAACACCTCCCAACACCACCTCTGACAAAAGAAATGTCGAGCCGACCCGCTGAACATTTTTGAATCTGTTCAAACTCCACTCAACATAGCTGAACACCGCTCACCACTACTCAACATAACTGAACAGGGTGTTAAAACGCTATCAACATTTGCACTCTTCAAATGTTGAGCGATGTTCAGTGAAATATTGGGGGCGTTTCAACAGGGCTTTATGGAAAAACCTAGCAAGGTAAAATAAATCAAAGGTGTAAAGGAATTCTCTAGGGTTTAAACACGGAAAAAACATAAGGATTCACAAATGATTTCAATATCTACGTAAGTGATGTGTGCAATATACATTTTGTAATTGGAACTTATAATGGCTTTCGCGTGTATAAGTTGCTCGTTTGCAGCAAATTTGCCTTGAGATTTACTCTATCGTCATGATTCCAGCTGTTGTCTTCTCTTAAATATTTTAAAACGATTTTAAAATGGAAAATAAAGAGACTTTAATTGAGAACGTGTGTCTTGCAGGACGTCTCTTTTGTTTGTCCGACTAGTGTGCGCATGCTTATGAATATTTAATAACGAGAGCCTGTATTAGGAGAATATGTCATTAAAGAGTATTAAGCAACGAAAAGCCTGATTTAAATTCTCTCTTCAGGTCTACGAATACACAGTCTAATTACAATAACCTATTGATGAAATATGTACTACCGATCCAAGAAAGAACACACCCCCGACCACGCCCTTCTAATGGGCAAAAAGTGAGCAAATCTGTGAACAGCATGTGAAGGATCGATTCTCTGTTTAAAATTAATTCAGTCTGTTATTCAAGTTTCAGGTTTATAAACAATTACACACGAGTTGTCGATAGACCAACAGATTGTTGACTGCAAACATTGGATCTGACTTTCTCAGGCCGAACTTTTATTTTGATAATTCACAAAAAAGTACATTCTGTAACGATTTATAACAGGAAGTACATTTTATCATAGCATTCATGGGAGAGGAAATTTTTCTAAATGTCAAATGTTAGAATTAAGGAATATTGGCCTAAAATTTTTATGTTTGAGGAATAAAGTGTTCGAATTATCAGATAATCTTGAATATAATAGGAACAAAATTATTTTGTTTAAGACTGCAGCATTACTGGTGGATATGGCAACGGAAATTTTGTGTAATAGGCGTTTGGTATGCTGTCTTATTTAAGGTTGATGAGTCAGTGCCTGTTTATGAAGTCTCAGAAGATAAGGCATTTGAAATCGAAATACTGACCAAAAGTCTTATTTTGTTGATAGCGTTGTCGTAGCGCCCTTAAATGCATAAAAACATGAAATTGTGGCGTTCAATGCTCAATTGCAATTAGGCGAATATTCAATTAAATCGCTCTACATATCCTTTATTACTTTCTTGGCAAAGCAAATTTTTCTAGGACTAAACAACAATTTTTATGAAAGTGGGTTGAAATTTGAATTTGGTATAGGTTCACTCACATCTTATTGATGATTCTTTATTTAAAATTCAAATACAAAAAACCTATCAAGAAAGTCGACATGATTTCAGATTTCTACTCTTTGCTAAAAGAAATCGTGAAAAATGCAAAAAATGAATACATTTTGAAAGTTTTTTGGCAAAGCTGAAATACTTTCCACTATAAAATCAGTATGCATTTGAATCATCAGGACCGATTTATCTAATTCTTATACAAACTCTTGCTATAGATTCAGATCACTGCATCCTCATTAATCACGAGCTTAATAATCAACTCAAAATTTCTCTGATACTCTACGACAACTTAGGTTGTATAAGGTATTTGTTGTAAGTCGTGCTTTGGTGTTCGTGAAGTTGAAATTCATTATGCAAATAAAAATTATCTAGTAAGATGGGCTTAAAGGAGATAAACTGGCTGATCTCTAGTTATCCGATGATTATTTCTCAACTATCCTTACATAATGCTTCAACACAAAAATATAATGCGATGACGAAATTGCCAAACATCACGCTGGACCTTGTACCCTCAGTTGCTGATGGCGTCTCCTAATGGAGCCCCCTGGTCACTACCAATCTGTGTAGATGGCTTACGTTGGAAGGGACCATGAAACCTGTTTAGGGACTGCAAAGCAAGATGGAGTTGGGTGCTTAGGCCCTCATGTAAATTTTAAAAATTGCATTTAAAATTAGACAAATATGAGACAACTTGGCTATCCCCCTGCCCGTAATATGCTCTGCAGTCCCCGCAGCTAACACGTGTTAACTATACTGCTTTACTGCTGTATTAGAAGCAAACAACCAGGGGTAGTTATGATAGTCTTAATGCTATGTCATGTTTCCTTTTTTTAAATTTTCTCATAATTATGCCCCCACTTAACAATACCAAGAGAAAATGTAAGCAAATATTTTCTCTTAGTATCTTTTCCAAAATGCCGTTCTCCTATCAAATTTAGTTTACTCCAAGCCATAAAATGCAGGCAGAATCATGATCCGAACAAATGTTTGTTGCTATGATTTTCTAACTGCCAACAGTTACACAAAAAAAGCTTTGAGACTGCAGCAGATGTTTCGATTCTGAAGTTTCGTGCAACTGTCACAGGCAGCTGTTTCTAATGTCGTCGCAATGAACACGGGCATAATTAAATCATTAGCAGCCTCTTTTAGTTGAAAAAAACGCTTCTAGCCTCGCGCTTTTTATTCCTAATTGCTTTGACAAGACGTCGAATGCATGTTTTGAAATAGAGAAATCTCATTATAAATATGGCTTAAATCTTCCTCGTCTACTGAAACTGTTTCGATCGCCATTATTACTCTAAAAGTGGAGCGATGCATTTCTTTTTTCCCTCTTGCAAAGTTAATATCCTCATGCCTTATAAGATGTTTACTTAAAACGAACCGTTTGCCAGCAATTACTTTATTTTTGATCGCGTGCTTGAATGGTTTTGTTTATTTTATTCTTCCGCGCTCAAACTTACTCATTCCATGTCTCTCCTCAAAACGGACCCCTCAAAACGGACACCTCAAAATAACGGATAGTTCCCAACTGCAGACACCACTAATAATGGGCACTTCTTAATAAATAGAATCTCCCAATAACAGACACAGCCCAGTTGCGGACACTACCGGTAAGCGGTAATCTCCTTGCAGCGGATAGCTCTAAACAGTGAAACGATTCTCTCCAAAACATTTCATTGAACAATTATTTTGTTATGTATACTTGCATTTCGTCAACATTTTCTGTCAACATACACATACATTTTTAACTACTATTTAAAGAGTTTTTAGCAAATTTTTCTATCGCTGTCTTCCAAATTGTTTTATGATGTTGAATCTTTATTTGTTTAGCAAAACAATCGACATCCCAATTATTGATAGAGAAGAGTACGAGAAGAAGAAATCTTTCAAAGTCGTGATTTCAGAGCCCAAGTTAGCCAGTGGTGAATCTCAGGCCCATATCCCAGACTTAAGGGACGTAAAAGATGCAGAGATGAAGAAAATAATCGAAGCTGGAAAACCAACGCTTGGTAAGAGCACTAATTTGAATATAAAATTCACACATAACTGGTTCATGACCAACTAACGATCTACAGACTAGAGTGATCTGCAATGCCCTAATCCCAGACATTTTATTCACAGTCCAAGTCTTCTCAATCTCTTCTTACTGTAAACGCAATAATGTCAGCTATTTTTCATTGCCCCCTTGTTTATCGTTTTTCAAAACATCTCTAACGAATACCCCCTTTCGCAGGAACAAACTCAGATATCACTGAGTATTTAATTTTTCCTTAATCTTTATAATCTTTATGCAATTTCGGTGTTCAAAATTGTTCGGAACTTTTATAAAATTTAATGTCGGTAGGAAAAATAATTAAATATAAAACTAACGCCACACTTAATTTGAATTTTAACATGAACTTATTTCGCAAACTATAAAGGTTCAAATTTATCAAGATTGTTTTCACCAAAGTATAATACCCGTATCATTTGTTCTAAAAACATATTAAAATCACTTGATAAAACCATGACGTCAGAATATAGTTTTCGATCTATATTCTGAAGAGTCTCAGACGAAAAGTGTTAGTGTATTCAAAACTATTTGACTTTTTTAAAAGCCATTTTTGTTGAAAGTTTCTAAACTGATCAGCAGCTCGAGTACTGAGTTAATCATAAAAAATTTTTTTGTGAGGATTTGTGAGGAATAAAAAATGTACACATAAATGAACTCGATTCAAATTACCCTCAATTTTTGCTTCAAAAATGATAATGATTACAATCAAGGTTTCAGTCCCACATACAAAAAATATGACACTAGACTGGCAAAGCGGAAAATATTAGAATATGAATGGTGACATTGCCCACCAATTATGATAAATATAATAAATAAATATAAATGATATAAAACCCTTTTTAAGCCAAAAACGTTATGTTTCTTGGTTGCCTACTCATGTACTGGACACAAAATAACGAAACAACGTTAAAAGGAGAAAATTATATATCATCTGAAAAACGACAACAACTGAATGCGACACATTGCTTTGTCATCGTTTGACGTGTGGACATAATTGGTGTATTGCTTTCTTAAATTTCATCCTATTTAAAGTATATGTGCAGTCGAGTAACGGAGGCATTTGGCGCTCTAAGGAAAAATCTAAGACGAGGCCCCTAATTACACACTGCAGAAAATTCCCATCACACGCTGTAGACCATGCCAAACACCATAGCAAGTTTTAATAAAAAATTTTTTCGTTATCTAAGGGAAGATGGAGACCCTTTTGTTCAGGTTCCCTAAACTGTGTTACGCCCCTGTAAATGTACAATACAATTAAGTTTGAATTGTAAGAAAACTTTTCTTGTGAACTTTAAAGATGGACAGAATAAAAAACCATGATAAGAATATCCAATTTTCAACCGAACAGTATTAATTAAAACATTCTAAATAGACAAGGACTGTAACATTCGTTTCACTAATCAAAAGTAGAAGAATTCTGCGTCAACTGATGAACAGATTTGTCCATCCAATACGATTTAATAATAAAGTGTAATATCTCGCAAGAAATGTAGCAAAAAGCTTTGAATTCTTCAAAACCCCAATCATAAAGGATTTCAAAAAGTCTATTTTCAGCCGAATAAACGAATAAACTAAAACGAGAGTTTTATCGAGAAAATGCAACTATTGTGTAACCGACCCTGTATGAGGAAAAAACCGTATGTTCCTTTTCTGACCAACAGCTGTCGCCGCCAGACCAATGCTGTCTGTCGCATAGAGATATTTAAAGATAATTTTAAAAGATATTAATTCGTATTAAAAAGTTCAATTAAAATCAGTGCCAAGAATCAATCTTTTAGCTGCTTTTAGCTCACAATCCCTGAATTTTAAACCTCCTTAAATAGATCCTTAAATACTCTGATAAAATATGCTGCTCTTTAGACCTGATTTTTGCACTGATGGCGTTATGATCAGTGCCAACAAACAATAGGCTAAAGGTGTTGTCATTGGTTGAAATAGAACTTGTCAATCAAAGCAATCACGTGTGGACATAATTGCTAATAGCAACAGTTTCAGTGGAGTGCTTTTAATTACAGTCGATTAGCTGTTTTGGTTCCCACCTGCGTTCTGATTAGATGCAAATATTCAGATAAATAGCTAGTGAATCACGAACAAGGACGGCGACGGCCTGGCGTCATAGTTTCAGGTTGGCTACTGTTGTGTATTTGTTTTGTGCACGCTCGCATACCGTTGAAAGAAACACTTCCATAGGGCTCAATAGATATATAAGAAATGTTTATAAGATATAATAAAAGCTTCTTTTTGAAATTAAGATAATGCAAAAAACAGACAAGGCATAGTATTATCTCATATAAAAGTGCAAAAATTTCAATGGCCTGCAACGAAGAAAGTTTATTTATCTTTTCTATCGAACAATTGCCCCTGTTTAGAACGATGCCTCTGAATATTGGGGTGTTCGAGAATAGTTGACCCTTGAATAACTCCACCTTACAGCGCATATGTAGATCCTTTGAATAGAGTCAACAACTTGTGCTGATGCGATTTATCCTGAATTTTAGAAGGAAGTTCTATAAAAATCTCAAATTTTCAACAATTTCAAGTCTAAGTTATTAAAATTTCTCTTTCACTTAAATTATGTATTTTACCAAGTGATAATTCCTCTGCTATTTAATCCAGGCCAGGTCCTACATTTAAGATATTATCCGGGTTAAACGACTACCCATTGCGAGACAAAAAACAATGCATGTATTCCAACATAAAATCAATTTTTACGTTCGATGTTAATAATGACTTCAAATGAAAGCAATGCATTTAGCCGGAAGATTTGGGAAAATTGCTTATCATGGCCTGAAAAGTACTTGCAATTTTGCTTGTCTCAAGGATAACAGTTTCTAGGAGAAGAAATACACTGTGCAATGACGCGTTCTCAGTTCAAGAAAGAAAGGCAAAATCTTGAAATAAACGTAGCTAATTCTCTCCTTCTTCGTATACCGTAGCATACCATACCGTATGTGTCTGTCCTGTCTCTGTTCTGTCTCTGTCCTGTCTCTCTTTCTCTGTTCTGTCTCAGTTCTGTCTCAGTTCTGTCTCGGTCTCTGTTCTGTCTCTGTTCTGTCTCAGTTCTGTCTTGGTTTCTGTTCTGTCTCAGTTCTGTCTCAGTTCTGTCTCAGTTCTGTCTCAGTTCTGTCTCAGTTCTGTCTCAGTTCTGTCTCGGTCTCTGTTCTGTCGCAGTTCGTCTCAGTTCTGTCTCGGTCTCTATTTTATCTTTGTCCTGTCTCTCTTTCTCTGTTTTGTCTCAGTTCTGTCTTGGTTTCTGTATTGTCTCTGTTCTGTCTCTGTTCTGTCTCTGTTCTGTCTCTGTTCTGTCTCTGTTCTGTCTCTGTTCTGTCTTTGTTCTGTCTCTGTTCTGTCTCTGTTCTGTCACTGTTCTTTCTCTGTTCTTTCTCTGTTCCTTCTCTGTTCTTTCTCTGTTCTTTCTCAGTTATTTTTCTGTTCTGCCTCTGTTCTGCCTCTATTTCAGTCTCTTTTCTGTCTCCGACTCTCACAAAACAACTAACGCTTTTTGATAGGTTCATGTTGCAGTTAAGTCAGTTGGATAAGGAATGCCTTGATTGGATAGCAACGTTCTTGCCAGAATGTTTCAAACATGACTTACAAATTTACTAAGCAAGCTTGACTTTGATTCTGTAACACTGTTTCACTTTTCTTTTAACATGAAACTTTTGCTTTTGTCACTGATTTCCGTAAGTTTTTTTTGCGGTTCTCTATATCTTATTGTATTTCACATTTCTAATTATATTTCCGGCAGTCTTGGCCTAGATTCATATAAGAATCCTTCTAACTGACACGAGCCCTATGTCCCGACCATACACAGGCCCAAATTCACTGTTATCTAATGTTTCAGTGCTTGCTCATCGCATTTTCTAAGTATTTTTAAGTTTATGCGTTTAGCTTTTTAAAACTGCTTTATTTGTCAATCTTTTTCATTGTTTCTAAGGTGACATCAAAACCCTGGAAATCAAAATCACTGAATGCCGCGAGTTCAAGAATACAATTGACAAGATGCTTAAGAAGACTAACCTTGCTTTACTATTGGGCACTAGCTCGTGGCGGGAACAGTTCAAAGAGGCCGTCACAGTGTCAACGGGTGATGACGAAGACGAGGATGCGCAGCCCTCGTATGGTGACTACGTCATGCATTATATCACACTGTTCTGGAAGATCCTGTTTGCTTTTGTCCCTCCAACAGACATGAATGGCGGATGGGCCTGCTTCGTTGTTGCCATTTCAATGATTGGCATCTTAACTGCCGTTACTGGTGATTTAGCTTCGCATTTTGGCTGTACCGTTGGCCTTGCTGACAGCGTGGTTGCTATATCCTTTGTTGCATTGGGTACAAGTTTACCAGGTAAGTTTCCTGTGTTGCAATTTGTATTCGACTTCACTTTTTTAAAAAAGATTAATTTCAGGGAGACGAACAACACAATGATATACAGATGTCTTGTATAAGTGCTACTATCATTAGGGCCTAACGCTATTGCACAATAGATGTGCAGGCCTAAGACTTACCGTTTTCTTTGCAAAACAACGCAAGTCTATGTCACATGCAGTCAAACGTGAAATTGACGATTCACAGTCGCTACATTTAGGCAAGACACAGCTAGGCCACGCTTGTCCGCTATTACGCTGCCACACCAATTGAAAAAAGAACGCATTTGCGTTTACGCTCATGCAGCTACGCATTTGCGTTTACGCTCATGCAACAACGCATAGTACACCGGTACATACTAAACAAAACGAAATATTCATCATATGATATCAATGGTTTTTCAAATCATCCAGAAAAGGTAAGTATGACCTGACAGGACTCGCGAGAGTTTTGTTGCGTAAGACGAAGCCAAAAAACTACCGTTTTTGCCGGGATGCACTTAGGCTTGTGTCGAACTACCGTTTATCACTAATTTCCTGATTTCCTGTACTGTGTTTGATGTGTTAGCGTGTGTCTGAATTGACTCTGAAATTGTGCCAACGAATCGCGGATGCCAGATCTATAGAACCCTCTGATCTTGTGGAAGAATTTCCTCAGCTTGGCCTAGTATTGCGATTACGAAAGTCTGACAACTTGATGCCACATATCACATTAAAATTCAATCAATACCAAACCAACGAAATAAGCATATGAACTGAACATCAGCGATTCCGTCCAAATAGCCGTGTGCAACAAAACCGTAAGTGTGTGTTTGTGTGTGCCATAATCATGCCTCGTATTCATGAGGTCGATGGATTTTCTGTTCTAGATACGTTCGCCAGTAAAGTAGCTGCGATCAATGATGAGACAGCCGATGCCTCTGTCGGTAATGTGCAAGGAAGTAATGCCGTAAACGTGTTCCTTGGTATCGGTGTCGCATGGTCACTTGCGGCCATTTACCATACTGCTAAAGGCTCACAATTTGTAGTACAAGGTGGATCTCTTGGCTTCTCCGTGCTGCTTTTTTGTATCCTGGCGATTACCTGCCTCGGTACTATGATGTGGAGGCGCTTCAACAAAAATATAGGTGCTGAACTTGGAGGCCCACAGCCTTACAAAAAGCTGACTTCCATTTTTTTCGCATGCCTATGGATGTGCTATATTCTATTATCAGGTTTAGAGTGTTACTGCTACATACCATCGATTTAAAGGGAATCTTGATTGACTTTAATACCATTTGCCCCTGGATGCAAGGTCTAGTCATAGGAACAGTCATTGCTTCTCTATTTGTCTACCATTTTTGAAAATTAGGAATGAAGAAAGGTTTATCTAAGCATGTTATGACAACGGGCCCTTAGTAAAGTACGTGCGCCTTTAACATGGCTAACTTTAAACCCTAAGCACAGCCGATTCCCTAGGCTAAGTAGCAGATACCTAAAACACTCCGCCACTTTCCCTATGCACCTTTGCACGTACTCTAGGGAGGACCCTATCTGGACAGTGTGCTTACCAATATTTCCAACTGAATTCTTGTGCATCAAGGTTGGGAAAACTTCATGAAAAAGTGTGAATTATGTATGTTCTTTGATTTATTGTGTGGTATTTGTCAAAGTTGCGAACATTACTATTCGCTATGTACAAAAAAAGCATAAAAGTTTGCCATCTTTAATTGCATTTGCAGCATGTACCTACGGTTTCGAAGCTGTACTAAAACTTTTGCATCCATGCTATTAGATCTTATTCTAATTAGAGCCTCAATTAAAATACATTCATATCGCCCCTCTTCCTTAATCATTTACTTCCAAAGTGCAGTTGGTAAAAGGAAGCTTCTTAGAAAAAGAATAGAAAGCTTTTCCTCTCCAGTGGCGGTTTTAAAAGGGAGTCTAGGGGGCCATAGCTCCAGGCCCCGCGCTTATGGTAGCCAAAAGGTGTCCCACACGTAAGAAAAGAGAAATTGTAGAGAACAAGGACCCGCAGATGTTTTTGGCCCCGGGCCCCGGAGTCCCTAAAACCGCTGCTGGTCCTCCTCTAATAAACCAAATTTTTTATTTGCTTTAGCCAGGATATGTTCTAACCAGGTTTCTTTGTTATCATTAATCCTTCTTCACAAAATGAAAGTCAGTGTGTTGAAAAGTGATCCCTGTTCTAAGAAACTAAAGGAGCTGTGTCACAGGCAAAATCGCCGTTGACAATAGAGTTTTTTGGCTCACAATAAATATATAATCAAATACAAAATCAGGTTTTTATGTCCAAAATTATCGTACCATGTCTTATTGAAGGACACGAAACAAGAAAGCTCAAGTATTATTACTCTGCATATTCGGAGTAAAAATGGTCGGGCCGAAAAAATGAAGAAAATGGTTGTCCACATTGGCAGTTGTAGAAAAGAGTAGTTCTGAATCAAAGTTTTGCAAAATTCAACAGATCAGTTTTTGACCGCGGTTTATGACAAGTAGTTCTGATTGGTTTAGGAAGGGCATAACAAAGCTATGTTTGTTGCATTTTTATTTCACGAAAATTAATCAGACAGAAATCACAGATCAGCACAAAAGTTAAATATCTGTGGATGTCTGTTCCACGCTCGAACAATAACTGCCATGTGATAATTTGATATCAAGTGATGGATAGAAAATGAAAAAAAATACAATTTGATATCCATTTAATGATATTCAAATATGTCAATTAGATTTAAAGGCACACAATAGGCGTTTGGCATTATTACCACACTGTGACACAAATTTTGCCAAACTGTGAAACACATTAGTACCATACTGTGACACATCTCTTTTAGCAAGGGATTCGACAATATTTTTAGTTCATTGTATAGAACGTTTTTTTGCACTCGAATACTGTCTTGTTAACATCATTATGATATCTTGCATCATGGATTTAAGTTAACTTTTTCACGATAAACGTCAAGAAAAGAACAAAGCAAAGAATCTATTAAGAAAACTCGAAGTCGTGTATTGTGTTTTGATTGTTGCGAGAATTCAGAAAAGCTTGTACTGAAGATTCAATTCTTATACGTTAAGCACGTTTTAAAAAGAAAGACGTTCTGTGCTTGTAATAGTGAAAGCAATTTTAAAGTTGAGCTTGAAAGAGACGAAATCAATGGAAATACCTTCTAGTCTTATAAATGCCGATTCTTAGCGAATTCTAAAAGGTTTGTTTAAAAAAATAACTGTTAACATTTTTTTAAAAAACTTATGCTAGGTCGTGGATAAAATTCTAGAAATGAATTGATGAAATGGCAATGCTCAAAATTGCATTGTAAATGTTTTTAACAAATGAGATTAAAAGATTCAATTAAATGCAAGTGAAGCCAAAATGCAACTCTTTTATCTCGAGATCTGCACTTCTACTGCAAATAGGTACTATATGGCAAGGGGCGTATCGTCTCGGGGGCTGAGTTCTGATGGCTGGAATACAAGGAATCTCCAGCATCCACTAGGTTAAGAATGGTCATTGCCCCCCGATCCAATCACAACATGTATGCAGCTCCCTTGATTTTACCCTGCCAACATCCAGCATTAAATTTTATGATAGGTAAGTTTCTTGTGGTATTTTCTGCGTCAACAGTTATGTTGAAACATACTTTTATTGTTTTCAGATCATGGTAAAAGAGTTTCGACAATTTAAATACCTTTTCTTTGGAAAAAAGCACAAGTTGATCCTTTCTCAAAATCATACAAACTTAGAAATCGCATTTTTTGAACGTGTAAGGAATAGGTCCCAGCCACTTTTTTACCTGTCATGATCTGTTTGTTTAAGCTTTAATTATTTGTTTCCACTAATAAAAGAGAAGGATTATTCATATTTCAAGTTACTACTTGAAAGAGGGGTTATTAGAGAAAGGATCTTAATAGAGACGGGGGCTACAAAGATCATCTAAAGTAAGTTTTTGCATCTTAGATTTTATAGAGCCTTTCAAGTCAGTACCATACTTCTATTAATATTACCTTCCCTATCAATGTGGTTCTGAGCATTGACAATTTGTATTTTTGCTGGTTAGATTTCATTTTCAAATTCTCGGTTAACATAGGACAGAATAATCTATATTTCCGCAGATAATATAGGTTTATACCGGTCATAATCTCCTTTCATTGCTGATTGAATTTTGTTTGGACAGCAGGTCAATATGTAAAAGTCGAAGAAGTATATGAATCAAAGAGATTAAATTTCGCCTACAAGTATTAAATCTCGTCACCATAAATAGATCTTAAAGATCGATCAATTCTCTGAGTTTGAAAGTTGCATTGAATTTGCAGTACTTTCTGGGCAAAATTTGTCACCTTCTCTCCATATTGTGCCAACTCAACCAAGGTACCCTGGAATTTGAGGTCATTATTACTGTTTTTGACACTAAGCCCCGTATATAGTGTTAATTCCAGGCTTTTAACTTCTATTAAAAAAAATCTCAACTTGTGCTTTCCCAAATTTCCTGTAAAAATTAATTTGAGTTTCTGCTCAAGAAATAGAGAAATTTTCATAAACCCAAAGTTTTAGAAAAAACAGTTTTCTCTTGAGGGAATAGCCCTTAGATCAATTCAATGTGTCTGTTAAAATATTACACAGCAAGTCTGTTTTTTTGAAAATCACCCACGAAAAGTTTTCAAAATACCTACCAAATGCAGTATTGTCTGTTCCTCAGGCATAAAGTGACAAAATAATCAATGAAGAATATGTGCAATTTTAAAGGATCTCATAAAAGTATATTTTCTTGTAAACTTTGCAGTTTTCCTTCAAGATTTTGAAGAGATAATTCACTATATACACAATTCCGTTCCCATCGGCAGACACTTAATGGCAGTTCCAGCAGTAATTCCTTATCTGGTACCTTCGGTCGCTAATATTTTGATCAATGCTATAAACTGAGATATTTTTATCGAATGTATGCAAGAACAAGGACTTTTTCGTATAATGTGATAGACACAATTTATGCCTAAGAACAACTACCATATGCAAGATGATCAAAAGGAGTTACAACAGTGTTGTTTATTAATACCCACCCCTGACCTCTTAAAACCCTGCTTCTCACGACACATGATTATGTCATGGTATCTGTACATTTCACTGTTTAACGCTTGAAATCTAGATGTTACCCCAAAGTCATAACAGGATGAAACTCTTAGCATTATTGAAACTTTAAAAGACTGCGGGGATAGCGGTGAATCTCTTTTTCTATATTTTTTTTTATTGTTCTTTATATTTAAATCTACCCTTGAGCTAAATTAGCTTGCAGTCTTATAAAACCAGGTCACTTCTGTCCCTGCAAGCAGTTATGTCTCAAGTCTAGCCCTTTAGCTGTGTATCAAAAGTGTTTAAAACAAGCCAGTGCTGGTAGCTCACATCGGCAGTTGTATCAATCCATATCACGAGAGCTGCTTTTAATGAAAGCCTTACGGTAATAAATTCAGTTTTTAGGAGCGAGACCAATTTTATTGTTTCTAATCAACTCAAAAAGATCAGAAGCGTTTAATGAGCGTTGTCAGCTTGTTAAACTATATCATTTGATGAAATTTTTAGGTTGGTATCGTCAGAATTATTCTAGCCTTTGAAGATTTCGTATGCTTTTGAAAAAAATGACGATAAAAGGAAATGGGCCTAGGCAAGAGTCTTATAAAAGAAATGGGCCTAGAAGAACACCAAAGTTTACATATCTGACAATTGAACGCTTATATATCAGGTCAATTTTCTATTGTTCAATTACGATTCAAGTGAAGTTCTAGCTTCCCTCCTTACTCCCTAGTCGCCTGGATTTTAATCAGCACGCCGTAATCGATCTTAATGACCACTCTCGAGGTTGTGGAAACTATTGAGCTGGACATAACAATACCTTTTATTTTTGTGCTACAAGTTTCTGTCGCATATGAGTAATATTATTATTGAGTACAACATCGCGAACTCAGGCCTGGTTGCACATGATTCTTGCCGTTCTTGGGGAATTCTGGGGGTGTAAATTAATTCCGAGCAGAGAGACGGTGGAAATTGAATGTTCTGGTCTTCTCTAGCTTCTTTGATGTTTTTCTAATATTTTCAATGTATCGATATACATTTTGCAGACCTGATTACTTTTAACTTGAATAGCTCTTACAGAAATCATACAGAAATACATTTATTTTTCTAGACACATTTGCAAGCAAAGTCGCTGCCTTGAATGACGAAACTGCCGATGCATCGGTCGGAAATGTACAAGGAAGCAATGCAGTGAACGTATTTCTTGGAATCGGTGTTGCTTGGTCCGTTGCATCAATCTATCACACAGCTAAAGGCAGCCAGTTCGAAGTGAAAGGAGGATCCCTAGGTTTTTCTGTATTGGTCTTTTGTTGCCTGGCGCTAGTCTGCCTATTCACCATGATGTGGAGGCGATTCAATAAGAATATCGGGGCAGAACTTGGCGGTCCACAGCCGTATAAGAAATTCACATCATTATTCTTTGTCATGCTATGGGTGACCTATATTCTTTGTTCAGCACTGGAAACTTACTGTTATATACCATCTATATAAGAATTTCTGTTTTTCGCATATATTTGTTTGGCAGATTGTTTACAAATTGTATACTTGTCAAAAGTCCTCGTGAAGATGGTCATCATTCCTTGCCAAGCAAGGACAGTGTCACGGCAGACCCCAGAGACGCTGATAGCGATTTATCATTGAAGATGGTGTTCCTTGGGAGAGAAGTGTGTGTCGTGAAGACTTATGTTTGTGCAACCTAGAACTATGTAATTTTTTAAGTCAAAAAAGCTCCACAAAATTGTGTATTTAACGCGCTTCATTGTATTGGAGTGTTCATCGTGCTTTGGACGTGTTCAAGAGTGATTTTTACTACCATGACCATAGCAAAAACTCAAAATTTTAGAACGATGTATGTTTAACGAGTGAAGGGTTATAAAAATATGAAGAATTCAGTCTTCAGAAACGATGCAAGAATGCGTGAAAGTTTGTCAATCCATGTAAAGAAGATGAGTCAGTTACGTCAAGTGACTTTCTTATGATGACATGCTGTGGCTAGCTTCGGGCCATTATCTGGATTCTGGTTTGCAAGACACAATAATCGACCAATGCAGTTTTTAGACTTATGGACAAATAGTTTAAAATTTTCAAGTTTATCTCAGTGAGGATACACATAGTCTTAAGCAGTTTCTTGTAGCTAATCTGATTTCGTAACATTAATCTTCAATATCAATTTGTGTGAAAAGATGAAGGCAATGCATAAAGTGGTTCTTACCTCACCGGCCGAAGATAGAGTTGGCCCCCTGCCTCCCCCTGGCTGCTGGGTTTTAAGGGATCATTCGCAAAGAAAGTATACGCTGATAGTTTGGGTGAAGCTATCCCTTGCGTTGAAGAAGGTTAGGACTTATAGCACAAAAATAAATTTTCGTTTGTTACCGACGCTCCCCTCTGTTGCCTAAGAAGCCATTCTTACAGGCTTACAGGCTATACTCTGCAGCTTTTACATCCTCTTTTCCCAAAGAACCTTATCAGAAGATACCATCAAGTCCAATAAGATTACTTGATAATTCCATAGAAGTGGCATACTCATTACACGATTAAGATCCTTGTGTCCCTATTTCCTACTTTTTCTATACCCCAAGGCATACAAATGGCATACTCTCTCGTGGAGACTGGTAACGAGACCTTTTGCCTAAAGATATAATAGGTACTTCCAACACAATTGATCAGTGTCCTAGGGTAGGTTCCCTTCCCCCAAAACTCTTACCCAGCCGAACCAAGAAGCATTAAATTCAATTTTAGTTTGGATGAAGTTCCATTTTCGTTACAAATTTGAAATGGCTAGATTAAAGATAAGGCGATTGTGTTATCAATAACACTTAGGGCAATATTATCTAACCCTGTATCTTCGTAATCTTACCAAACAACTGTCGCACAGTCTTTTTTTCTCCTTAAGTGCAATTCTAAGACGCCAGGTCGTTGTTTACTTTCTGAAAAGCACTATTCTTTTTTTAACGACACCTTAGTTTGTAGCTCACCAAGTTTCCGGAAGGGCCAAGAAGTCCAAGTGAATTATGTTTAAAGTGGATTTATTGTAACTAATTTCGGCTACTTTATTCCAAAACCTAGTACTTAGATTAGTGATCTACTAAAATAAAATGTGTGTCATTGTGAAATTTGCCTCATTGTCTTCTTCAATTTTTTCATAG